CGATGCGGGGTAGCAGCCCATCCATGTGGGATGAATATAAGAAGGGACTGAGGGCTTTTAAGTACACAATAAGAAAGATGATGGTACTTGGGCTGGCTCTAGTTTAGTGTGTGGCCTATTATACTGCGGAGGACACCGAGAGTTATCATTGATTGGTTGTTGGTAATTTTTCGTAGCTGTCTGTGTATAGAGTATTTCCTTAGAGAATGTAGAGAGGTAAAGACGGTTTTTGTGCCGAAGCCTGGTAGGAATGGTCATGTCAGCGCGAGGGATTTCCGACCAATCAGATTGTCGTCTTTTTGTGCTGGGGACCATAGAGAGGTTATTAATGAATAACCTCCTAGGCTGGTCTGGTTGTAAGAGTGTGTGGTTAGGCCTATTCTGACATATGGGGCCATTGATCTGGTGGCCAGCGGTGCTCCGGAATAGGGAGTGGAGGAAGTTGGAGAAGATGCAGCGTATGGCGTGTGTTGGGGCCACTAGTGTTGTAGTGAGTACTGCATCCACTTTGGGTTCGGAGGTTATTTTCGACTTGGATCCGGTGATTGAGCAGGTTAAAGCGGCGGCTGCGAGGTGTGCCTTGAGGATACAAGCAATAGGTACACTTAAAAACAGGGAATACACACACAGTAGGATTCTGGTAGAATAAATGGAATGCGGCCAATGGACATTCGGCCTGATTTTGTGGTGCCATATACCGACTGGAGGGTTGATTACGGTGTTGTGGTTCCACAAATGGAGGATTGGAGTGCGAAGGGGCTATGCATGCAGTGCTGGCACCATGGATGGTACAAGGGCAGGGGTCTTCTCCGTTGGAGAGTTGGGGATACAGCTATCGATTAGCCTGCTGATTTATGTGGGGTTTTCCAGACCAAGATTTTGGCAGGAGGTCGGCGGCATTGGCTGCCACTGAACCGGTGGGGGGATGCGAGATGGAAATTTCTGTGCATAGTAGGACGGCGATTGGGGGCTTCGCATCCTATTCAGTTGGGTCAATGCAGGCGGGCACTTGGGATGCTTTACAATATGCGCAGGGTGAGTGTGTTCTGGGTTCCTGGTCAGAGCGGAATACGGGGTAATGAGATGGCAGATCGTCTTGCGAGGGCTTTGGCGAGCGAGATGCTAACGTTGTGTATGGGTCGGTTCGCCGGCCGCTAGAGGTGTGTCTTGACGTATAGATGGTAAGTGTAGGAGGGGGAGGGGGGCCTTGTGGGTGGAGGCTCACACGTGTAGCGTGACTAAAGCCATGTGGGCTATCAGGGACAAAAGGAAGACGAAAATGCTGTTGAGGTTGAGGTAGGGCTGATCTCAGCACACTGGTGGGGGTCCTGACGGGGCATTGCCTTTAACGATGGCCTAGGGTATCTATCCGGGGTGTCTCTTGTGCGGCTTTCGCGCTTCTCCAGGAAGGTTGGCTGATTTGAATAGGGGGTCTGGTGGGTCGAATTGCATGGGGGTTGTTGGGTGTTGGTTTTGGTGGTTGCCGTTGGGCCTTTTCTGTTAACCTAGTGCATGGGTTTCACGCGGGTGTACGGGTGGAGCCCCTCTCTGTTACTACTACGAGTACTACTACTACTATTTGTTCAGTTTTTTTTATATGATTATGAAATAAATATGTTTAGCTGTGTGCATTTTAATGGACATCTCTATCTATATTATACAATGTGTAACAGGCAAAAGGGACATAATGAATGGCTGCTACTGTTATATTAGAAATTTATTTTTAAGTGTGAATGTTCTATTTTGGACAGCAAGGAGGGCGTTGGAATTATGCAGTTTTACTTTTAGAATAGCCTGAGAAATTGTAGTAAAAGAAAAACAAAACCTTATCCTTTTAGACCTCTGAACACAAACCATAAAAATCTTTCCTAAATTGTCCACTTCATAATGGAATCAAAACCGAATTCACCCAACATTCCTTACACCAATAAAATTAATGTTCAAAATTCCATCCCGAAAATTCCATACGTATATTATTACAATACTCATAGAATCGGCCACTTCACATATTATTTATGAAGAAAAACTACAATTAAATTTATCCTAAATCCCTATAAATTGCAAATAAAAAAAATCAAAATACGATCAAATAAAAGTTCCCCATTTATTTCTTTCTTGTTCTCTTTCAGATCAATATCTTTTACTTCACCTTTATCCTATTTTATATAAAAATTAAATATTTATTGAGAAAATCATCGCTATCACAATTCAAATGAAAAACAACAAAAATAATTTATTTTCAAAACCAAAAAGATAAGAAGAAATTAAAAAAAATAAGATAAACACTAAAACTTTATTACTCGAATGAGCTATCATATTCTATATACTCCTTCCTAAAATCCTTAGAGTTCTCACCATAAAATGAAAACAAAAGAAAAGCAATGAATTTTCCCATCAGCCGATTCCCAATATTAAAAGATTTTCCATAAACTTTCTTAAATAAGGATATTGGATAAATAAAATAAAAGTAAATGAAAATCGAATTTTATATTTCGTATATGTATGCATGTATAGTATGTATATAGGAAATAAATAATTACATTATACCAGATCAGAGTAAAGCAATTAACTTTTAGGAATTAAATAAGTTAATCAAAAATCAAAAGGCAAATAAAAAGAAGAAAAGCAAAAAAAAACTAAATTATATAATAAAAGTTTTATTTTGTTTTTTTTTTGTGTTTTTTTCTTTTTGCACATTCGTTTATTTAAAATCAAATTAAATTATTTAAGTAGATCAATTGCTAAAGAAACAATTTTTATATTCATTTATTAATAGTGTAAATTCTTGCGTTGTACGTTAAATGGTGGGTACTTTATGAGGTGCCCAAAAAATACCTTATAAGGCAGATTTATACTAGCACATAATTTGCATTTGCGAAAATAAAATTTATATCCCGAGGTATGTAAGACCTCGTTATCAAAAGTTAACAAAGCTAAAATAAACTCACAAATAAGTTTACAGCAAAATCGGTATAGCCGCACTTGAGACACACGCGTGCACACACAGACGAACAGATTGACAAGCAAACAGAACGACATCTCTCTAAAAAAGGTCTAGACCGACAACTATATAGGCTTCCCTACCATGGAGAAATACTTTCCCACCGAAAACACGACAACCGAAATTTTGTGCTATCCCAAAACAACCAATTAAAAATTTTAATTTACTAAAAAAAATAAATTTTATTCGGAAATCCCTTTGTAAATAAATTTCAAATTTCAATATTAGAGAGTGTAGAACTTTTGGATTTAGGATGAATGAACGAAGAGAGGAAAATAAGGTACAAAAAATTTTTTAATCTTGAAAATTCAAATATTTTTTACATGTTTTTTTAGTAGCGTATAAGAGTAGGGCCATTCTAATCTTGTATAAACAGTTCAACATTTCACAATTTAAATATTTTGTTAATTTTTCATATATTATGCGCGTTCTAGACTAATGCTTTACGCAAGTTCCAGTTAATTTTATCTTTATAATTAAAATAAATTTCATAAAACTGATTTGGTTAAATAAAAAAATCTCTTATGTATGTACGAGCATAATATAAGTGACTTGGAATGATGCAATAAAATACAAAAATTGAGATAAATTTAAAGCATTATGTTGGCTGCTTAACTTCTGCAATTTCAATTGTGAAATATTTCTATTAAAATGAGTTTTCAAGCATATTTCATAATAGCGTTGACTTTAAAACTATAAACCGTTATTAACTAGTTCATCTATTTTTAGATGCCAAGGATTTTAATTGTGAAATTTAGATAAAAAAGAAAAACAAACCTAAAATTAGAATAACAATTAAAATTAAATTTGAAGTTCAACTAAAAATTTTCCGGTAGATAATTATAGTAGGTACATAATATATTTCTATTTATAACTGTTATACTATATGGTTTTTGTAAATAATTGTAAATTGCCTACACACGTCTTATATTCTATTTGAAAAAAAAAAAAATATTCTTTGTGATAACTGCGATGACTACTTAATCCTCATAATATTTACAATTGTTTACTCATTTACTGTACGTCACCTTCTCGCCATATTCATATTTTTTCCTAAAAATTAAATATTTAATTTAGAATTTTTTTATTTTATATTTTAGAATCTATTCATTTTTATACCCGTACGAACGTATGTTCGAAGGGTATACTAAATTTGCCTTACCGTTTGTAACGCTAAGAAATAACGGTGTTAGATATAGACTCAAGTGTATGTTTTTGATCAGCGTCAAATTCTGAGTTGATTTAGCTTTGTCTGTCCGTCCGTCCGTCCGTCCGTCCGTCCGTCCGTCCGTCCGTCCGTCCGAACGATAACTCAAAAACTAATTGAGCTAAGTTCACCAAATTTTCACAAATGATTTATGGTAGTAAGTGCCAGAACCCTATTTAAATTGGACATGATCGGGGTACCGGTTCGGGTAGCTGCCATACAACTTCAAAATTTATTTGGCTATATCTCAGAAACTATAAAAGTTGTGGTATTGAAATTTCACACAAACGAATATATTAGTAGGGCCAATGTGTCTCATAAAAGTCGTTGAAATTACTTGGCTCCTTCTGGTACCTGCCATACAACTTCAAAAGTTATTTGGCTATATCTCAGAAACTATAAAAGCTGTGATATTGAGATTTCACACAAGTGAATATATTAGTAGGGCCGATGTGCTTGATAAAATTCGCTAAAATTTTTTTGGCTCTTTCTGGTAGCTGCCATACAACTTCAATAGTAGTTTGGCACAACCAGTATTTTAAAAAACACATAGTACTGAAATTTTGCATAAATTAATATGGTAATACGGCAACTTAAAGTCATAGTCTGCCCCCTAGTTAGTTATGGCACATTATTTATTCGCACATAGGATAACAAATTCGTACGGGTATCACAGAGTTGACAAGGTCAACTCTACTTTTTTTCTCGTTTTTTCTCATACTAGACCGGTAAATAGTAGAAATTTATTTTAAAATGAATTTTAAGACAAGAATTTCCGATTCAGTAGGCAACTGAACACCGGATAAGAAATAACAATAATTTTTCTAATTAAAATATAAAGGGAAAAGAAATGTTTATTAGCAAAAATTGGCAAAGATATAAAAGACAAATTTTAGGAACATTTGTTGGTAAAACCTATTTATTTAAAAAATTATGACGAATTTAAAAAAAATTTTTGAATTTTTGCAGCAAATATTTTTGTTTTATCACATGGTATTGCAATTGGTTGGATATCACCATCATTAAATTTTCTTCAATCCAATAATTCACCATTAAATGGTGGCCCAGTAACAATAACTGAAGGATCATGGATTGGTTCAACATTTAGTATTGGAAGTTGTTTTGGTGTATTATTTTTTGGTTATATATTTGAAAGAATTGGTAGAAAATGGACCATTTATATGTTATCCTTACCACATTTGGTATAAAAAAAAAAAAAATTTTTTTAAAGTTATCAAGTGAAACAATTTGGTGTAATAAAATTTAATATTATAATTTATTTATAATTTTTTTTACTATAGTCATTCTGGTTTACAGTGTTTTATGCTTATGACGTAAATTATTTATATGTTGCAAGATTTTTTGCTGGATTTGCTGGTGGCGGATCTTTTATAACAGTACCAATTTTTGTCGCTGAAATTGTTGATAACAAGTAAATTCATTTTATTATAACAATAATTTTTGAATTTTACGAAAATTTTAATTCACTATAGCATTAGAGGACGACTGGCATCCTTTTTCCAAATGATTTTGAATTCAGGAATTGTTATTGGTTACGTTTTAGCATCATATTTACCATATAGAATTGTACCAATTATTGGAATAATATGTCCATTAGTATTTATGGCAACAATGATATTTATGCCGGAAACACCATATTATTTAATAAAAAAACATAAAGATAAAGAAGCTGAAAAATCAATAAAATTTTATCGTTGTCTAACAAGTAAATCAGTTAGAGAAGAACTTGAAATTCGACAATATTTATTAGATCTGAAATTAACAATACATGGAGAGGAACAAAATCGTACAAAAATTACCAAAGATGATTTATGTAAGATGAATAATTTTTAATCTCTAATTGTAAAATTTTTTTTTTTTTTAATTATTTTTCAAATATTTTTTTTATTTTATTATTATAGTTAATCGAAATACAATAAAAACCATTTGTATTGGACTTTTTCTATTAATGTTAAATCAATTTAGTGGAGCATTCGCTATTATTAATTATGGAACAAATATTTTTGAAGCAACTGGTTCAACATTTGATAAAAATATAAGTACGATATTAGTTGGTATTACACAAGCTATTGGAACAATATTATCAGCTGTTTTTATTGATCAATATGGACGTAAAGTACTTCTATTACTATCAACGGGTACAATGTGTTTAGGTTTATTTACAGCTGGAACATATTCTTATATTGCAACATTAAATGACTTAAGTGATTATAGTTGGGTACCAGTAACAAGTATATGTTTAGTAATATTTGTAGCTTCAATTGGTGTTACACCAGTACCTTTTGTTATTTTAGTTGAAATTTTACCAGCTAAAGTAAGTCAAACTAACGTATATGTATGTACAATGGTAAAAAATTTATTAAACATTTTTCTTCCTTTAAATAATATAGATTCGTTCGGTTGGCTCTGTATTTTGTTTAGTTTGTTTAAATATAATGGCATTTATAGTGTTAAAATCATTTCCGCCACTGGTACAATTAATTAATATATCGGGTGTTCTCTGGTGTTGCGGAATTTTTTGTGGTATATCAACTTTTATAATTTATTTAATTGTACCGGAAACAAAAGGAAAACAATTGGAAAAGGCTGATCAAAATCAAATTTAAATACCTATTATAAAAATAAATAATTTTGTATAAAATTTTATTTTTTGTTGTTTTAATTTTAATGTTCATAAAATGGGTCATTTTTCATTATTATGGTAATTTTCATTCTTTCTATACAAAATGAAAATGTCACCATGTGAAATATCACCTAATATTTAACAATTTTAGGGCTAAAAGATTATGTAGAACAAGAATTTTAAAATAAAATTAATGTTAAATATTTAATAGTCGTAGAAATTGTCTAGTGTTATCTTTAATTACTATACAAGTGTGTAATTTAATGTAAAATATAAATAATTTTAAAAAAATTAGCGACAATACTTCAGGCCTACAGAACTAAAGTACATAAAAACAAAAAAAGACTTAATGATAGTCTTAAAGTTTTAAAGTTTTGCAAAAGATTTTTTTAAATATCTCCAAAAATATTTTTGCTACAGCCTATTATCATACATTGGCGGACTCTGTGGATTCCCAGTGATCACAAGAAACACTTAACCCTCCTTTATACCTTGTGTAGAAACCTACACAAAAAGTTTTTTATTTATGAATTTTGCGGCAACTATTGTCACCAAAATCAAGAAACTTCATGACTTTGTTAGTTTCTCTATTTAATACCAGAAACACATAATTTTAAAGACTTTAAGGTAGATGTCACTGCTTAATTTAAAAATATCTCTTTTTGTCCCGTGTGTGTAGATTTCTACACATATGAGATTTTTGGTTATTTGATGTCATCATCACCGCTTCAAAATATAACAGAACAGGATTCTGATTTTGAAAACGAAGCCCCAGCTTTAAAACGCCTAAAAACCATTCCAGAACAGCTCAAAGGAAGAGGTAAATGCCACATTTGCTACGAAGAAGATTCAAAGAAAAAAAATAACGTACATGAGACAATCTGCTGTTGTTGCAAAAAACCATGTTGTAAAGCGGAGCACAATAGATATGTTTGCACAAAATGTTTTTCAAATAAATTAATTTAATATATTTTCACCTTTTTCTACATTTTCATTTGAATAAAGTATAAAACAAGTAAAAACGTTTCAGTCGGTATAAACCGATTGAATTATACCCTGCACCTTTCGTTATTGTGTAGCTGTTACTCGAACCTGTGAAGTCATTCTATAGAAACTTCACGGATATGGCTGACCTATAATTGGGCATCCGACTGCCAAGTTTCATGAATCTGACTTTATAATTTTTCCAAATATTTAAAATTAGCTTTTGGAGTTGTATGGCAAGTCCCCGAACTTGTCAAGCAATTCCACTAAAACTTCACAAATATATCTGATCTATAATCGGACACACAACTGCCAAGTTTCATGGATCTGACTTTATTATTTTTCCAAATATTAAGAATAAGCTTTAAGACTTGTATGGGAGCTACTCGAACCTGTCAAGCAATCCCATTAAAACTTTAGAAATATGTCTTACCTATAATTGGACACACGACTGCCAAGTCTCATGAATCTGACTTTATTATTTTTCCAAATTTTTAAAATAAGCTTTTAGACTTGTATGAGAGCTACTCGAACCTGTCAAGCAATACCACTAAAACTTCAGAAATATATCTAACCTATAACTCGACACAAAACTGCCAAATTTCATGAATCTGACTTTATTATTTTTCCAAATATTTAAAATTAGCTTCTGGAGTTGTATGGCAGGTACCCGAACCTGTCAAGCAATTCCTCTAAAACTTCAAAAATATATCTGATCTATAATCGGACATCCAACTGCCAAGTTTCATGAATCTGACTTTATTATTTTCCCAAATATTTAAAATTAGCTTCTGGAGTTGTATGGCAGGTACCCGAACCTGTAAAGCAATTCCTCTAAAACTTCAGAAGTATATTTGACCTATAATTGGACACATGACTGCCAAGTTTCATGAATCTGACTTTATTATTTTGCCGAATATAAAAAATTTGCTGTTGGAGTTGTATGGCAGCCACCCGAACCGGTGCAGCTATCCCATTATAATTCTTAGAGCATATGTAGAATATAATTGGACACACGTATACAAAATTTTATATTTACAGCTTTATTAGTTTTTGAAATATTTAAAATAAACTCTTTGAGTTGTATGGCAGCTACCCGAACCCGTTGTCCGAATTAGTCCAATAACAATAGGGCTCGTCCTTGGCACAAAAGAAAAAACTTGTGAAAGTTTGGTGTCGATTGCATTATTCGTTTTTGAGTTATCGTGCGATCGGACGGACGGACGGACGGACGGACGGACGGACGGACGGACGGACGGACGGACGGACGGACGGACGGACGGACGGACGGACAGACGGACATGTCTAAATCGACGCAGAATTTTACGCTGAGCAAGAATATATATATATGTCCATACCGCAGATGACTCCTTCAAGTAGTTACAAACTCCATACCAAAGTTAATATACCCTTCACGAAGTGCAGGGTATAAAAATAATAGATATTTCATATGTGTAGAAATCTACACATGAAGTATAAAAAAATAGTTTTTTTATACCCTGCACTTCGCGAAGGGTATATTAACTTTGGTATGGAGTTTGTAACTACTTGAAGGAGTCATCTGCGGTATGGACATATATATATATTCTTGCTCAGCGTAAAATTCTGCGTCGATTTAGACATGTCCGTCTGTCCGTCCGTCCGTCCGTCCGTCCGTCCGTCCGTCCGTTCGCACGATAACTCAAAAACGAATAATGCAATCGACACCAAACTTTCACAAGTTTTTTCGTTTGTGCCAAGGACGAGCCCTATTGTTATTGGACTAATTCAGACAACGGGTTCGGGTAGCTGCCATACAACTCAAAGAGTTTATTTTAAATATTTCAAAAACTACTAAAGCTATAAATATAAAACTTTGTATACATGTGTCCAATTATATTCTACACATGCTCTAAAAATTATAACGGGATAGCTGCACCGGTTCGGGTGGCTGCTATACAACTTCAACAGCAAATTTTTTATATTCGACAAAATAATAAAGTCAGATTCATGAAACTTGGCAGTCATGTGTCCAATTATAGGTAAAATATACTTCTGAAGTTTTAGAGGAATTGCTTTACAGGTTCGGGTACCTGCCATACAACTCCAGAAGCTAATTTTAAATATTTGGAAAAATAATAAAGTCAGATTGATGAAACTTGGCAGTTGTGTGTCCAATTATAGGTCAGACATATTTCTAAAGTTTTAATGGTATTGCTTGACAGATTCGAGTAGCTCCCATACAAGTCTTAAAGCTTATTCTTAATATTTGGAAAAATAATAAAGTCAGATCCATGAAACTTCGCAGTTGTGTGTCCGATTATAGATCATATATATTTGTGAAGTTTTAGTGGAATTGCTTGACAGGTTCGGGGACTTGCCAAACAACTCCAAAAGCATATTTTAATTATTTGGAAAAATAATAAAGTCAGATTCATGATACTTGGCAGTTGTGTGTCCGATTGTAGATCAGATATATTTGTGAAGTTTTGATGGAATTGTTTGACAGGTTCAGGTACTTGCCATACAACTCCAAAAGCTAATTTTAAATATTTGGAAAAATTATAAAGTCAGATTGATGAAACTTGGCAGTCGGATGTCCAATTATAGGTCAGACATATCCGTGAAGTTTCTATAGAATGACTTCACAGATTCGAGTAATTGCTACACAATAACGAAAGGTGCAGGGTATTATTCAATCGGTTTATACCGACTGAAACGTTTTTACTTGTTTTAAGAACAAAGGAGGGTTAAAATCGCTCTATTTCTTCTAGTTTAGCCAGAAAACGCGTTTAAAGTTTTGCAAAAGATTTTTTTAAATATCTCCAAAACTATTTTTGCTACAGCCTATTATCATATATTGGCGGACTCTGTGGATTCCCCGTGATCACAAAAAACACTTAGAATCGCTCTATCTCTTCTAGTTTAGTCAGAAAACGCGTTTAAAGTTTTGCAAAAGATTTTTTAAATATTTCTAAAAATATTTTTCCTACAGCCTATTATCATATATTGGCGGACTCTGTGGATTCCCCGTGATCACAAAAAACACTTAAAATCGCTCTATCTCTTCTAGTTTAGCCAGAAAACGCGTTTAAAGTTTTGCAAACGATTTTTTTAAATATCTCCAAAAATATTTTTGCTACAGCCTATTATCATATATTAGCGGACTCTGTGGATTCCCCGTGATCACACTTAAAATCGCGATATCTCTTCTAGTTTAGCCAGAAAACGCGTTTAAAGTTTTGCAAACGATTTTTTTAAATATCTCCAAAAATATTTTTGCTACAGCCTATTATCATATATTAGCGGACTCTGTGGATTCCCCGTGATCACACTTAAAATCGCGATATCTCTTCTAGTTTAGCCAGAAAACGCGTTTAAAGTTTTGCAAAAGATTTTTTAAATATTTCTAAAAATATTTTTCCTACAGCCTATTATCATATATTGGCGGACTCTGTGGATTCCCCGTGATCACAAAAAACACTTAGAATCGCTCTATCTCTTCTAGTTTAGTCAGAAAACGCGTTTAAAGTTTTGCAAAAGATTTTTTAAATATTTCTAAAAATATTTTTCCTACAGCCTATTATCATATATTGGCGGACTCTGTGGATTCCCCGTGATCACAAAAAACACTTAGAATCGCTCTATCTCTTCTAGTTTAGTCAGAAAACGCGTTTAAAGTTTTGCAAAAGATTTTTTAAATATTTCTAAAAATATTTTTCCTACAGCCTATTATCATATATTGGCGGACTCTGTGGATTCCCCGTGATCACAAAAAACACTTAAAATCGCTCTATCTCTTCTAGTTTAGTCAGAAAACGCGTTTAAAGTTTTGCAAAAGATTTTTTAAATATTTCTAAAAATATTTTTCCTACAGCCTATTATCATATATTGGCGGACTCTGTGGATTCCCCGTGATCACAAAAAACACTTAAAATCGCTCTATCTTTTCTAGTTTAGCCAGAAAACGCGTTTAAAGTTTTGCAAAAGATTTTTTTAAATATCTCCAAAACCATTTTTGCTACAGAATATTATCATATATTGGCGGACTCTGTGGATTCCCCGTGATCACAAAAAACACTTAAAATCGCTCTATCTCTTCTAGTTTAGCCAGAAAACGCGGTTAAAATTTTGCAAAAGATTTTTTTAAATATCTCCAAAACCATTTTTGCTACAGAATATTATCATATATTGGCGGACTCTGTGGATTCCCCGTGATCACAAAAAACACTTAAAATCGCTCTATCTCTTCTAGTTTAGCCAGAAAACGCGTTTAAAATTTTGCAAAAGATTTTTTTAAATATCTCCAAAACTATTTTTTCTACAGCCTATTATCATATATTGGCGGACTCTGTGGATTCCCCGTGATCACAAAAAACACTTAAAATCGCTCTATCTCTTCTAGTTTAACCAGAAAACGCGTTTAAAATTTTGCAAAAGATTTTTTTAAATATCTCCAAAACCATTTTTGCTACAGAATATTATCATATATTGGCGGACTCTGTGGATTCCCCGTGATCACAAAAAACACTTAAAATCGCTCTATCTCTTCTAGTTTAGCCAGAAAACGCGTTTAAAATTTTGCAAAAGATTTTTTTAAATATCTCCAAAACTATTTTTTCTACAGCCTATTATCATATATTGGCGGACTCTGTGGATTCCCCGTGATCACAAAAAACACTTAAAATCGCTCTATCTCTTCTAGTTTAGCCAGAAAACGCGTTTAAAGTTTTGCAAAAGATTTTTTTAAATATCTCCAAAAATATTTTTGCTACAGCCTATTATCATATATTTGCGGACTCTGTGCATTCCCCGTGATCACAAAAAACACTTAAAATTGCTCTATCTCTTCTAGTT